CTTGTTTCTTGAACCCTAGACCTTCCTTTTTGTTGTACTTTTCCAGTGACACAATCTCTTCGAGTTTAGTTGTGCCTGTATTCATCCTCTTGATTGCTAGAGTTGCTTCTTTGAGTTCATCTTTTACCTTTGCCAGTTCAAGATCCTTTTTGGTGATACCAACCTCCAAATGTGTGATTGTTTCTTTAAGAGAAGAATTTTCCTTGTTGGCTGCATCTAGAGCTTGAGTCATCTTCTCCAAGTTTCTGATCAGCTTTTTACACATTTCTTCCTCATCACTAACTGCTTCATTACTGGATTCTGCTGCATTCAAAGAGATAGAGTTTAAACATGTGTAATGATCAGTATTTAACTCACAAATTTCCGTTACTGAAAGTGTTTCAGAAAGTGTTGCAGCATCCAGAGAAACTCCTTATGATTCTGTTTCAGAGGCACTTCCAGTGAGATATCTGACAAAAAGAGCTTGTTTAGAGGATTGCTGTTCCTCTGTCTGTTCAGGTTGTTCTTCCTCCTCATCACTGACAGCACAAATCAAACTCATTCCTCTTCTTCTCAAGGTATTTGCACATTCATTAGCATAATGTCCAAATCCTGAACAAGCCCTGCATTTAATATGATCCAAGTTAGGTGGTTCAGAATTTGAGCGAATAAATGAAGAATTTTTTAAAGTGTTTTGAGAAGATGTTTGAGGAAATGTTCTCTGTGGAATAGATCTGTTCCGGGGCTGAGTTTGTCGATTTTGTGGAGAGCCTTCTGGAAATAACTGTCTGGGCTTGATTCCACTTCGTCTGTACGCCCTATTGAATTTCTGAATTTGAAATGCCACATTGTTGAGACATTCTTCTGCATCATCATCATATTCCAGAGCAACATCTTCCTTTTCTAATTCTGCCTGGAGTGCATTTGAGATAGCCTTTCCTTTCTCCTTTCTTTGATCTTCGAAGTTCATCTCTCTGGAGTTGAGACTACCAATTAATTCGTCCAGCCGTAGAGATGATGTATCTTTAGCCTCCTCAATGGCAGTAACCGTCATGCTGAACCTTTCTGGAAGAGTTCTCAATACCTTATTCACTAGTGTCTCGTTGCTCAAGGGACCACCTAAGGATTGAAATTCATTAGCCAAATCAATCAACTTCTCATTGTACTGAGAAATTGTTTCAGTTTCCTCCATTCTCAGTCTCTCAAATTTGAAAGAGAGTAATCTGAGTTTGGTTCTTCTGACACTATCTGATCCCTCACAATGTAGCTGAAGAACTTCCCAAGCATCCTTCGCAGAAGTGCATACAAAGATTAATTTAAACATTGTTAAATCTACTGAATTGAAAATTGCATTTAACGCCTTTGAGTTTTGGTTAGCATTTGATAGATCGTCTGGTGTCCACCGTAATTCTGGAGTTGGAAACACATCCCCGTCCACATCTGTGATAGTTGGTGGCTTCCATCCAGTGAGAATAGATCTCCAGGCTCTCTCATGAATGGCTTTGATGTACGCCCTCATCTTGACTTTCCAGTAGGTGTAGTTTGTGCCATCAAGTACAAGAGGTCGCATAGAAGCAGTCATCTGAGTATCCATCACGAATTCGTTTCTGTAAAGAAAATAGGAACAAACACTTAGTATACGTCAAGTGTTGGCTCTGATACCAATTGAAAGAATTTATGGTCCCGAATTCGTATTATACAGAAATGTTATCTGAAATGTTGTGACACTTGAGACAACATGCAGCGGAAATATAAAGATTAAAAGACAATGCTCAGAATTAAAAATGTTCACAAGTAAAGACTTGTGAACTTGCCCTTTACAGGATGGAAAAATATATTAAAATCAGTATTCTAAGAATACAAACAGAAGAGGTGCGAAAACTTCTTCCTTATGAATGAATCATTCTCATGATCATTCTTACAATCAAATCTAGATACTAAAAGAAAAATATTAAAAATTCTAGACTTCAAATAATGTACTCATAAAGAGTACGTACAACAGATCCTAGAAACACTCTAAAATTCTCGAGATAAAACTTCAGCTCTCTATTTTGTTTCCTCGAAATCTGTGATGTTCTTGAGTCTTGAGTTTGGTATTTATAGACTTGCCAAGCTTCCACTCCTCAGCCCATGATCTGTAAGGAAACCAACCACAAGAGCACTCAAGATAATGGGTTAGTGGGTTAGTTAGGAAGTTAGAATAAAACCCACAATTAAACCCACTAATCACTACTTAGCCCACTAAGTCATAACACTTAGCCCACTAAGTAATAACTAAAATTTAGTTTGAAAGTAAGAGAGTTAAAAAACACTTTTGTAAATAACAACGTGTTTCAGATTGCATGGAATATATATAGAGAAATATTGCAAGCTGATAGAGTTTGACTATGTAACCAAATCCTAACTAATCTAGGTAACCGAATCATAATAGAATCCTAATATTACAAGATATCTATAATATAATATTCTCTAACACGCCCCCGCAGTCGAAACGTGGCAAAAGTGAAGACTGGACAATCACTTGCTATATGGTATCAGAGCATCAGGTTTAGATTTTTTAACCTAGCCGCATTTCTTCTCCATGGCCGGTGAAAACCTAGCCGCCTTTCTTCTCCATGGCGGTGACCACCTAATTTTCTCCCTCCCCCGGTGGTGGTACTCTAATATTTTTTTCTTTTTACTATCTTTTCTATGAACACCACCCAATTTTCTCCCTCCCCCGGTGGTGCATCTTCTATATCTCTTTTTTTTTCTTCTTCTTCTTCTTCTTCCTCTTTTGTTTTCTTCTTCTTCTTCTTCCTCTTTTCTTCTCCATGGCCTAAAAACTAGCCGTCTTTTCTTCTCCATGGCCTAACACCTAGCCGCCGCCTCTCTTCTTCTCCATGGCCTAACACCTAGCCGCCGCCTCTCTTCTTCTCCATGGCCGACGACCACCAAACCAATTCTCTCCCTCCTGGTGGTGGCAACTTATATTTTTTTTTTCTCCCTTTCCGACATCTTCTTCTTCTCAATCGGTTAATCTTTTCTCTCTATCTCGATTAAAAAAAAAATTATTTTCTTTCCATGTTATTTTTTTCTATCTTTTGGGCAGATATTTCACAGAGGATTTCTCTAGCGCTGTGTCTCGCGGCTTCTTGTCCAATCTTCACGTTTGGAGTTTATTCGTTCCGACCGCAGGAGCGTGCTAGCAAGTGATTGTCCAGTTTTCACGTTCGTCACGTTTCGACTGCGGGGACGTATTAGATTATATTATTATATTAGATATTATAGGATATTAGGATTCTATTATGATTCGATTACCTAGATTAGTTAGGATTTAGTTACTAGTCAAACTCTATTACATTGCAATATTTCTCTATATATATTCCATGTAATCAACCCATAACACAATGGGGGTTTCTATTCTATTACGTATTATTATTTCTGTCTTTTCTTCTTATATAGTAAATTAATGAAACTGGTAATTGATTATATATAGTATATTCCTTTTTCGAATTAACAAATCCAGGCCTAAGTTTTCTCTAGATACGTGCTGATTAAAAAAATAAATAAAAAAATTGACTTTGGGAATCATGGCCAATTGCATTATCTGTCTGGAAGAATATTTATATTTTTGGTAAGCTGTGGAAATTTTTGTTTCGGAAGATTCTTGCAACCTCGATCCCACATGTACAGGATTTTTTGTAATAATATTCCTTTTCTTCTTTTTTTCTTTTTTTTTTTCTTTTTTTTTTTTTCTTTTATGGGTTGGGGTGGGTTAGGGGGGGTGGGGGTGGACGAGTGGTACAATAGCAATTAACTCATTAATCATTATAATGTGGTGCCAATTTTGCAAAATAAAGAAGATGAGCTGCCATTATAACCTGCACGTATGCAATCACCTTGCCACGTCCTTTTGATTGAGGGATGGGTTTGACTAAATTAAGTAATACAACACTAGATCAAAGTCAAACTAAGGTGATTAGCATATGGTTAATTACAAAATTATATTTATTCTCCTCAAATTATAATTCACAATTGCCTAATGAAAATGATAACATATCTAAGACAAGAATATATATATCCTTTGAATTAGTTGCAATAACCTTGAGTTTCTGTTTGGATAAACTTATTTTAAAATATACTTTTAAGTCTGCTAAGTTGTTTTATTTTTTAAGATATGATAAGTTGTTACGTCTTATTTTTAAAATTAATTTTTAAAGTTTTTGGATAATGAGCTTATAAGCTATTCTATTTATTATAAGATATTAAATAAAAAATGTGGAATAGCGGTATTTATTAAACAAAACTTATTTGTGAGTCATCAGCTTATTTTTTTAATTTTTTAGATTTTTTAAAAAAAATTACAAAACACCCTGAAAGTATTTATAAGCTCTTAAAACATGTTCAAAGTTCTTTTTAACATCTTATAAGCTTAGTCAAACGTCCTAAATCAATCATGTTTCTAAAATTATATTGACCCCTAAATTAAATTTGTGATATTACACTACAAACTAAAACTCAAATTTGTTTTCGATATCATAATTATTTCATATTTGGAAAGCTTGTAAATTCTTGTATTAATCAAATATATTACAATAAAGTCCTTCATGAATGAAAAAAATCCTACAATGACACCCGCAGAATCAAGAGAAAGTTTCCTCAGAATCTAAATGCTTTCGTTCACCTTTACAATGTAAGAGGAAATGTAATTATATATATATTAGACTATCATACATTAATGAAATAATTGTTCTTTAATTAAATAGCCACTAGCTCCTATTAAAATAAATTAATAAATAATTAGCGTAATTCAATAACACATCAGGATTATTTTTTATTTTGTTAATTTACACTAACATTTGAACAATAATATTTGATTTGCTTCATTCACATATTGACTTTTCATCCTTGCTATTGAAGAGTTTGAAGAGTTTTTTCCAAGTCTGCAACTTTTTTAAAAGTCTCTATAAGTTGAAGAAAACAATACAAAGAAAAAGCCTTACTACTATCCAACAGTTACAAATCAACAAAAAAAAAAAATGGCATGGAACAAATCAACAGACATGAGCAGTAGTAAACTAATTTTCCTCAAAGGATCCGAATACGAAGAGTGCGGATTAGAGACGTTGTTGTATTCGAATGCGCACGTTCTAGGCAGGGGTACTTTCGGAACTACTTTCAAGGCTCAGCTTCCCGGCAAAGCTTTCGTTGCCGTCAAAAGATTGAAAGGTGTTTGTTTGCCCGAGATTGATTTCGCTGCAAAGGTTAAAGAATTGGCGAAAATGGCGGCCGGTCACGACAACTTGCTTCCTCTTAAAGCGTATTGCTGTCATATGAATGAGAGACTTCTTCTACATGACTACAAGCACCTCTCAAGCTTAGCTTCTGCTTTACATGGTGAGACAAACTTCGATATCTAATAATCTTGATTAGCGTCGTTTTTTTTGTTTCTAAATATTAAGGAAATTAATTCGTTATTTAAGGACCCAATTCATTCATGTTTATCGGATTCTCTTGCCTTGTTCGTTATGGTCTTATGTTTAATTTTTTCATAAAACCTCTGTTTCTGATGACAACGAAAACAAAATAAATTTTATTTTTGTTGTAAAATTTAGTAGGAGTTGACAAAATTAGTGCAATACCCTTGTGACATTGACAAGCTGAACACAAAAGCACAATAATACTTTATTCAGTTCTCAAAAATAAAAATGTTTAATGTCGTTTCAATTTTACTAATACTGTTTTTTTACTTCAAATGTGATTTTGACATTTTTCTAGTCAGATTTTGGAAAAATTCGAAAAACGGAAAGTGCATTCCTTTGAGATATCTCTTTTTAATTCAACTTGAATCAACTAGATGAGATGTCAGGTGATAAAGTTATGCATGAATGAGTCGCATTTTGAATTTTAGATAACTCAAAACATCAAAGTCTTGGGTTGTCTTCATTGATTCATATATATCTTTCTTATCCAATATCGACTCTTGCCGATTCAAGTTGGATTAGAAAACTGACTCAAAGAACTACAAATTCCATGTTATGAGATTTGCAAAATTCAACTTAAAGCATGGTCAAAATCACGTTTGAAGTCGTAACAGTATTACGAAAACTGAAACGACATTTATCACATATCTTTCCAAAATGATCTGATCAAGTATTTTTTTTATGGCACAAAGGTAGTGCAATAAAGATTCCTCTCAGTTGGGAAGAAAGGAGCAGCATTGCTTACGGTATCGCTCGTGGGATTAGCTACCTTCACTCCCAACCCTCCAATATTTGTCACGGAAATATTAGGTCGTCAAACATATTCATCTCCCACTATAATGACCGTCATAGCGTACAAATTTCCGAATATTGCATGGCACAACTCGCCACACTAGACTCGAAAACGGCAATTGCACAAGGATACAGTGCGCCTGAGGTAACAAACTTAAATACTGTTTCTCATAAATCTGATGTTTACGCCTTTGGAGTGGTCCTGTTGGAACTGCTAACCGGTAAAGCGCCGTTAGTGAATGACAAGGGGACTGATTTGCCGAAATGGGTGCGCTCGATTTTCCAAGAAAAGCCCATAATTGAAGTGTTTGATAGTGCACTGCATGAGTACAAAGAGAGTTGGGTTGGAGAGCAAATGGTTCGGTTGTTGCAAATTGCAGTTTGTTGTACGTTTGAGTATCAATGTAATAGGCCTTCCATGGATGGTGTAACAAACCGGATAAGGGAAACTTGTAATTTCAAACCATGATTATTAATTTTTGTGGTTTCATTTTTTCTGGAATTTTCAACTGAGATTTATTTAATTTTTTTACTGATATAACGTCATAATATAGATATATAATAAAATAGTTTTCCCTGATTCAAAATATTATATAATATGCAGGAAATTACTGGCATCTCTTTGAGGTAAGATCAAATTACGAAAAATATTCAATTTGCATTATGTTTGAAAGCATTTTCTCCGATTGGTCATTTATCTATCATTTGTTTTTCACTTATTAAGTGCATATAGTTGTTTTCGATTATAGAAGGAATTACGATAAGTGAAATGAATCAAAGAAATAAAGAGAAGGTTTCAAAACGAAAGCTATATAAAGTTGTGACAAAAACCGAACCGAACAGAACCTAGCTCGTGCGTGTGAATCGCTCCTTAAACTTGTTATATGCCATGATTCGACTCATTTTTATTTCAACCGTTCTGTTGGCAAAGAAGAACAATCAACTGTATTAACAATGTACAATAAAATCAACCTAATAATCAACCCTTAAACCGAAAGTGAACGACGAAAAAAAAAATTTAAAAGCTCTCAACATGTTGTTTCACTACTAAACAAGATTAAAAAAAAATTATCAACCACAAATTTCACGGATGCGTTGCGTAACCTCCAGCATGGACGGTCTCTTATCGGGAAGCAGAGCAGTGCACGTAATCGCGATATGCAACAAATGCACCATTTTCTCATCAAGATTTTCGTACTCAACTAACAAATCGGGATCAAACACTTCAATAGTCCACTTCTCTTGAACAACCGAATTGACCCAATTGGGAAGTTCGATCCCTTCTTCGGTCAAAACATGGTCGGGTGCCTTTCCGGTGAGCAACTCCAAGAGCACGATCCCGAAGCTGTACACATCGGCCTTTTGCGAAATCTTGCGAGAATCGTTCACTTCAGGGGCTCGGTAGCCATTCGAGTTTGGAACAGAGGACACGAGCTCCGTTAGGCCAAACTCGGATACACGTGCTTCCAAGTTGTCGGTGAGGAAAACGTTGGATGAGTTGATGTTGCCGTGTGCGGTTCCAGAGTTTACCGAGTGGAGGTAGTTGAATCCGCTTGCGGCTCCAAGTGCTATTTTGGCCCTCGTTTCCCACGAGAGTTGTCGCTTGTTATTCCCTGTTTAATTAATCAATATATAAGCTATGAGAAACATAAACACATGAGAGAGAGAGAGAGAGAGACGGTCACCGTGCAGGAGCGAGGACAAGCTTCCATTCGACAAGGAATCATATATAAGAAGCTTCTCATCTCTACCATAAAAGTAACCTCTAAGAGGCTCCAAATTCTCATGCACCAAAGATGCAAACTCCTCCATTTTATCCTTAAACTCTTTCTCCGAAACACAAACATTTTTCAACCTCTTCACAATAACTTCAACCCCGCTGTCCAAATACGCCTTGTAAGTCGATCCAACCGTCCCCTTCCCCATCACCTGAGCCGACGCCCGCAGCAGCTCCTGTAACCCGAAACCTTCGAACCCATCCTCTTCACCGAAAAACACCAAACCATCATTCCCGCCATTCTTGATTGCCGCCCTCAATCTCTCCTTCGCTCGTATATCGCTCGAGAAACTACTATCCGACCGGCTGTCTTCTTCTACCACTACAATAGACGACGACTGAGGGACATTCCAACTCTGCCGCTCGGGCGGCTTCACCGGAGAAAACGGCAACGGTGACCCTTTACTCGTCATCTCAGAAGGGCTTGTTCCATTAATTGTTGTGTATTTTCTCCATGAGATGAATATAAGTACAAAAACTAAAACTAAAACCACCATTGATCCTATTGCTATTCCGGCTATTGCTCCGCCGGAAAGATTATTATTATTATTATTATTATTACTACTACTATTGGAACAAGGAACAAGTGGTCCGCTGCAGAGAGAGGTTCCGAGAAAAGACCGAGAAGAATGAGTAGTGCCTAAGCTCGACGGAATTGAACCGGTCAGTAATCCGTTAAACGAAACGTTGAAATTCGTAAGATGGAGGAGGCGGTTCAGATCCGGGAGTGGCCCTGCGAATTGGTTGTTTTCCAAGTACAAGGTTGTCAGCTTGATCAGGCCGTTGAACCCGGACGTCGACAGAGCGCCGGAGAAGCGGTTTCCCGCCAAATTGACACGCGCGAGTTCCGTCAGGGCGAAGAAGCCGGTCGGAATTTCACCGGAGAGGTTGTTTCCTTGGAGGTGGAGGTCCTGGAGATGGGTGCACGAGGACAGATCGGAAGGGATGGGGCCGGAGAGGGAGTTGTCCCTGAGGCTGAGGGCTCTCAGTTCGGTTAGGTTTCCGATGGAGTACGGCGGGAGCTGGCCGGTGAGGCCGTCGCCGGGGAGGCGGAGGGAGACGACGCGGTTGGTGGTGGTGTCGCATTTGACGCCTTCCCAGGAGCATGGGGTGGCGGAGGTGGTGTTCCATTGGAGAGTGCGGCCGCGGACGGCGGATTGAAGGCGGAGGAGGGCGAGGCGGTCGTCGGAGAATACGGGGGAGAGGAAATGAAGTAGGGAGAGGAAGAGGAAGTAGGAAACCATTAATTCATTCATTCGTGCAAAGAGAAGAAGCGCATATATGGTGGTGGGAGAACTCAGTATTCTAATTTCTTGGTAAATGGTAATATAGCGCAGTCAAAGGTCATCTCTTTATTTTTTTCTGGGAAGAAATTTATGTAGCCGTATAAAAACCAGTGTTCTAAAAATCAGTTGAGGCGGCTGATTAATCGGTATTCGAAGCGGAGGCGGTCCAAAACCTTTACGATTTAATGTAAATGTTTGAAAAATCGGTTTTTTGCCTGTGGGGCAGTTTGAGGCGGTCAAACCTTTGTGGCGGGCCAAACATCGGTGGCAAAAATCGGCAAAAAATCGGTAAAAATCGGTTTTTAATTTTTAATTTTTTATTTTTAATTTTTTTTTTATTTTTTATAATTCAAAATAAAAGTTGAGATTTTAATAATAAAAAGGGTAAATAGCATTAAACCACCTAAACTTTTTCAGTTTTTGCGAATCACCACCTAAACAATTTTTTTTTGCACGAGTTCACCTATACTTAATAAATTGTGTCACTTTGCCATTTTTTGCCCGTTTTCAGGTGAAAATGACCGGTTCTCAACACATGTGCGTTGCACATGACAAATTCAAGGGTATTGATGTCTTTTCCATTTTTAAAATGGAATAAATGTTTTTTTTAGGATAAATGGAATAAATATAAAATAGAATAATTAAAAGAAAAAAAAAACATGTCAGTCTTATTTTATTTCATTAATTAATTTTATATATACATACATTATACATACATATGCAGGGGATAAAACCCACTTGCAGTTGTAGAACACAGGTTTTGAAGAAAGATTCTCTCACATACACACACACACACACACACACAAAACACATTCTTTCCCGTTTTTCACTAATTTAATCGGTATGAATTAACTTGGTACATTTGTATTTCACTTTTTTTCATCGAATATTTGATTCTTTGATTGAATCCCACTTCAGATCTGTTGATTTTAATAAAAAAAAGTTAATTTTATTTTGCATTTGAATTGAAGTGGGATGATCTTGGTGAAAATGGGGGGACGAATTTTTGTGCAACTGGTGGTGGTTTTATCATTTCGGAGTGGTAGTGTGTTTGTTGCAAAAGCAGAGGATTTCATACCCGATCTCACCGCCAAGCGCCGCGCACTTCCGCCGCGGCCTCAATTGTGAGAAGATCATCTAATCCTCCATTCGTTGGAAGATGATCTAGTTGATTCGGAGGAATAAATCGAGAGAAAATAGTGTTCATATAACCTGAATTGGGGAAAGGGAAAATTAAATGGGCATTTTTGACGTAATTTTAGAACCAATTTCATTCAATTAAAACGGGTTGGGATTAAATGTGTTCAAAATACAAACTTTAGAATGTATTGTGTTCATTGTCGAAAAATCTCGTTTGAGGTTGTGGGCGGCGGATCTGAAGATGTGGTGGTGGTGGTGAGTATGGTGGTTGTGCAAGAGGGCGGAGCTGGGTTGTGGGCGGCGGATGTGAAGAAGATGTGGTGATGGTGGTGAGCTTGGTGGTTGTGCAAGAGGGCGGAGCTGGTTCCTGGTGGTGAGCGGCGGACAGCTGAAAATTGTGAATTGGGTGAGTAGAGTGGGGTGGTGTGCGTGAGATGGGTAGTTCCTGGGATTGGGAAGAAGATGAAGGCCTTTTTTTTATTTATTTATTTTATTTAACATTTATTCCATTTATCCTAAAAAAAAATATTTATTCCATTTTAAAAATGGAAAAGACGTCAATAGCCTTAGATTTGTCATGTGCAACGCACATGTGTTGAGAACCGGTCATTTTAACCTGAAAACGGGCAAAAAATGGCAAAGTGACACAATTTATTAAGTACAAGTGAACTCATGCAAAAAAAAATTGTTCAGGTGGTGATCCGCAAAAACTGAAAAAGTTTAGGTGGTTTAATGCTATTTACCCTAATAAAAAATATGAGTTTATGTTTTATTTTGTTTACGTTTACTGTTATTCTTAAAGAACAAATGATGTATGACAGGAACGTTCAAAAATAAATGTAAATTCAAAAAAATTGCATTTTTATTTATATTTTATTAGAATATTTATGTATTATGATCTTATTATTATTAAATTTTTATTATGTTATTAGGATATATACATGATGGAATATAACTATGTTTAAATATCTTTTTATATATGTTTTGAGTATTTATAAATAAAGATGCCCAAAAAATAATAATATTGATGTGGTTGACATTAATATTATTGTGTTCATAGTAATTGTCCTGGTAACGACAATACAATTATGTAATTGTACTATCAACTGTAATACAATTACTGTCAGCGCCAGTACAATTACCGTCAATGACAGTATAATAACGGTCAACGTTCAGCGGTGGGCGTAAAAGAAACAAACAAAAAATTTAGGGAAAAAAAAATCAACGCTGGGAACCGGCGACGGGAAAAGCAGATCCGGAAAAAAA